CCGACACATCCCTAGACCTTTCATACCCACCGAAACCTGCAGCACAAGATTCTGATGCTCCAGGGCTCTGGCAGAAAGTGTGTTTGTTTCCAGTGCGCAAGAAGTCGTGTTAACTCTTCCTTGGCAGATTCTACCAGAATCGCTGGCGTGTCGGTTCTATGTTATAACAGTCCTAATTGAAACGACAATAGACTTGGCCATTGAGGGGGAACTCCTACTTCGGGTGCGCAGAGAGGCAACGAATGACGACCAGATAACATCCCGAAAAATGCCTGTGTATCTCAGCATCTTTGCACTTGCCCAGTGGGTCACCTGTCATTTCATTGCCTTCTGACAGATTGAATTGACATTGGGGACCGTTAGCGTATTTCAATTCGTGATGGCGGTGGATGCAGTGTATGCCCGGAATACCCTTCAATTTATATTTTTAACGTGCGTACTTCTATTCCTCTCCGTTTACAGAATTTTAACTCCCTTGAACAGAATATTCAATGCGCTGTTCCTTATTTATGCTATCATACAGATTAGGGAGGTGCAAGAGGCTATCACAGATGTCTCGTCCAAGTCAGGCGTGGCCGACATCCCCATCGGCGTGCTCACAACCATCATACCCATAGTCATTTCCATCGCTGAAGTGGCTTATATCGGACTTGGTTGGAAGATTTACCACGAATTCGGTTGGAAGGTCTACAAATTCCTCGGCGCCGATCGGCGAATCAAGCAGATGTACGCAACATACCAAATCTACGAATGTCTCGTCAAATTCGATGTCTTCTTTTGGGCCGCCTTCTCTGTTCAATTTATCTGGCTCGTGCTTCAAAGCAGTGACTCGGAGTACTATGTTACATGTGCAGCACTACCATTGTCAATAGTCCTTCTAGTAGAAGGACACCTAGCTGCGCGCCACGAGAACAAGTGGATGATGGCAACGTTTATGTCGGGCTGTGTTGGTGCTATGGTTTACTTCATCTTCAAGGTATGTCCTCGACTTGGCCTTCATCTATTCCCCACCTCAACCATGCCTAGTTCATCAAAGTCTTGATTTTGAAAGACCAAGAACAATTCCGGTTGGTTTGGAAGTCGCTTGCCGTATTCTGTAGGTGCCTCCCGAGTAATCCCTTTTCTCCCTAATAAGCGAGACTTCTAGCGTTTTTCTCCATCATCCTCCTGCTTGCAACATTTACATACTCTGTTCTTGTGCTCCGGAACTTCGGGCGAGGTTTGAAGGATGCTCGTACGTCATCCTATGCACTGTTTTACAGTCCTGAACTCACTCCCAATCTCTAGTAACACGGAAGAAGATATCCCAGCATAATCGATTCAACTCAACCAACCGACTAGCTACCACCATGAACCCAAATCGCATGACCATTGATTGAACGGCATATCCGGAACGCACTTGTATTGATTATTGAATCCTCGTCCATTTGCATCACGATACGGACTCTATTCCAGGTTTCCTAGGCGTTTTCCTCCATTCTCTCCGGTCTAAAGGCTATTTTATTTTACATATAAATTCGCACCACATATACTGTCGGGAACCTGTAGATCCAGGTGTACCATTCATTCGTTACTTCTTGCCGCTCTCTGCGGGTGGGTGTATTACTGCTATCTTAATTGCCACGAAATTTGGAGTTCCCGGTTGCCGCAGTATATCCAAATTTGTCATTGTGGGATCAGGGCGACGTGGCCGAACTTTTGTCTCCGTTTGGGCCTGGATGTAGCCCTTGTACCATCATCCCGCCCTAATGTCTCAACGGTGAGCTCGAGCGACGACGCTGGTACGTCGAGAAGAATTTCTGATATGCTTTATTCTTTACTAGGGTACGAGCACCTGGTTCTCTGCGAGACCGTTCTTCCCTACTGGGCATTACACCGCCTGCCTCTGGGCGATCATCACCATATTCCGACAGCCCGTACCCGAGTGGACATAAATATTCAGATGATTTGGAAGGTCAGAATGACGAGCAGTTGGAGGGTTTGAGTGCCAAAGTCAAGTTGTTGAAGGATGTGAGTGAGTCGAAGCAACCATACCACTTCCTTGCCTGCCATTACCCCTTCCATTTACTCACGAAATTTGGATGTGTCCTCCTTTCAATCTTATATTGCATCTCGTAGATAACGATTGGTATTGGAAACGAAGTTCGGGAGTCAACGAAACAGCTAGGCCAGATGGTACGTCCTTCAATACCACTCGTGCACTGAGTCACTCAAAAACTCGACTCGTCAGAACGATGCATTTGCAGAAACGTCTGGGGTTCTTGCGGGAACATTTCGGAGGATGAACAACATGGCACAACGTCAAGGTTGTCGTTGGCTATGGTACATCGTTTTTCTCGTCATTGTATTTTGGTTTTTCATCGTCGTATGGTGGTTTCGCCGGTGAAACTAAACGCCGTCGTAATGGAAGCTATTCCCATGGTTATTTTGGTATATATCAATATAGTTCACAATTATTGGCAGTTTCTGTGCAAGAGAAGAGTACAATAATAATAAGGATTGCACCGAAGCTGCGAATGGGTATGCCCCAATGATGCCAGGTAAATTAGAATACAATGTACAATAAAAATAAAGCAGCCCCCCAGTCTGCCCCGAGAAATCAACGAAGGTTAACTTTCTTCGCGTAGACAGGAGTGACCGATCTCCCAAATCATACGGCGCCGGAGATATGGCATGTCCTTCTGGGTGAAGTTGAATTCTTCTACACCCCTCGAGAGGGTTTCAAGGAATTGGCATGTGAACACGCCACAATCGTATCCATTCTGCTGCTGGGGTGTCGACTGGAAAGGTATATTTTTAACAAGCCGTACCCATGAGTATAGATAGACACCTACCGACAGGAAATAGTCTTCCCAACCAGTAAAGTCAAATGGCCGACCACGTTTATTCCGGTGCTCGGCATCAAGGTAGTCTCGGAGAGCCTGTCTCATCGTGAGACCAAGATATGTTCAAAACTAAAAAAAATACGTACTCGATAGACTTCCTCGTGACGGAACCCCATACTATCGTAAGATTCAATACGCCTGAAGCGGAAATTAATCGCTGCGCCAGTCCAATGAGCGTTTCCATGATTAACGGGGATAAGCACGATATCTTTCTCAAAGATATCGACCTGAGTAATGTTAGATCATTGAGAGGGAAAGTCTCAACTTGATCCTCACCTTTTTAGACCACTTTCCAAGACGACCTCTCTCATAACCCTCTTTTATAAGTTTCGTCCAGAAGAAAGTGCTGAAATAGTGCACTCTAAGGAATTTCTTCCGGTCGTTTTCTTTAGCACCTTCCGAACGACCCATGATCATAGCACCATAGAAATTGATGATTTCGTCATTCAGCCACTGCTCAGGGCCGAGTCGTACGAGGTCCTTAAATGATACTCTCTCCTTTGCGAATTTTGAGTTGGATTCTTTATTGCTTGCAAATGCTGAAACCCAAGCTTCTTCCTCTCGAGACAAGGAAGTTGGTAGAGGTTTGGGCCCGTGGAGACGACGATCAATTGCTTTGTCTTTTTTATGATGTCGGTCAAGTAACTTGTCAAGTTGAATTGGCTGGAATTGAGGAGGTTTGACCGCGAGAGTAGCTTTAGCACTGTGAATTGCGCGCTCGATGGAGGCAAGGTTGTCCTTCAGAAAAGTTAGTAGCCTGTTAAGAGGAATCGCTGGAGATGGCCCTACCTGGTGTGGGGATGAAAACCGACGAGTCCGCACTGGAATCAGGTTGACGGGGGTCTCGCCATCCGAAACGCTCACTTATGCCTCGTGTGAGCAACGTATCTGATGTAGGTAAGTATACGCACAAAAGTGTTCACTCTCCTTGGTGACGCTTTCGACCTTCATGTAGTAATTGAACCAAACTAAGCGGAATAATGGGCAACAGCTCCAAGAACAGGACAATCGACCAACCCTTGAGATCCTCTGATGTACCCTCGAAGCCTAAAGAGACCATGAATCTCGTATAAGAATGGAGAAGACATAGCTTAACACACCTTGCTTCCGTTTGAGATCAAGGAGCACATCCATTTTCTTATCGAGCTCTGCCTGGTTCCTTGCCCTCACTTGCTCCTTATGCTAGGACGCGCGGATGATGGGCATGATTTTCAAGCATCGTCGGTAGGAGGGCTTACCTTCGCGTGATAGATATGAGGTCGGTTTTTATAGTTCCTTGTCATCCCTTGGAAGTGCTCCTCGTTTTTCCGTGAATTGGCTTCATGTAGTACAGCCGCACTTAAGGCATTTGGGGGAAGTGAACCAGGCGCTGGCTTATTCGCGGGGAGTGGTGGTAGGGGTTCTGCCTTTTCGTTGGTATGTACAGAATCTCTCTCGCTTTGTCGGACAGTCGTCCCTTCGTACTGTAGGACGGTATGTTCCACGCTAGCCTGCAAGTTTTTGTCAGTCGCGCTTGAAGATTTGGACGCCTTGTCCAAATCAGTTTTTCGTTTTCCGCGAGGAGGGTTGTGCTGCGAGCGCAATCGTTTGTGTGGTACCGATGAGCCGTCTTCGGGATCTTGTGCTTGTGGAGGGTCGACGATGTCTTTGGGAGGTGGTGTTACTTCTCGTACAGTGGAGGAAGACCCGTCGTCCTCGACGTCTGTGGTGTCGCTCGGTTGTTCTTTAACAACCTGGATAGATATCCCCATCCACCGTCGTATTCCAGCAGGGATATAGTCGGCTAGCCAGGACATTAGACCTTCACCAATATCCACGCTGATGAGAAAGCGAGTGGGGGAGTCCTTCCGTGTATCGATGGTCTTGTTGGGGTGTTGTGCAAGTGGAATGATAGGGTCGACGGGGGGATGCACTTTACGTTTACGAGGGTTCATGAGAAACGGCAGGTGGTGTGGCGACTGGGGAATGGACGAGCGAGCTTCCAATCGACTCCAGGTCAACGGCCACTAACGACAAGGGAGACCGCTGCGTTGCGCGATCGAGAAGGCCCAAGCTGTCACGGTCACACGCAATGCCCTTGCCTCTAACGGTCACATGGACCATGCTCCCACACAGGCCTTCTTGGCTCAGTTGGTTAGAGCGCAGGTCTCATAGTCTATATGAGGTGCGAAATGCACTGCAATCCTGAGGTCGTGAGTTCGACCCTCACAGAAGGCAGCTTTTTGGCGCTCGTGAGGTGCAAAATCTGGGGAATGCGATCAGATTCATGTGGACCGCAACTGCCAATTCGAATGGTTCTCGTCATGGTTTCCCGCCTCCTGTGGTGTTAGAAAGGTGAAGACGGCGATAAGGAGGTTGACCAGATCGTTGGGTCCTCGAAGATTTTGGTCATAACGAAGGGTTGGGGACTGACACTCGTTTCGGCTTTTTGGCCTGAATACGTCAAGAGCCTCGAGGGCGCCACAACTCTAAGCTTGATAAAGCTCAGATCGCGGTTGTCTTTGCGTCGACTGCAAGGCAGCAGTCCATGCCGAAGGCACGAGAAATGGATGCAAGCCCCCTGTGACGTTGTCACGAGCCCAAGTATGGCCATTTCTCGGTTGCTACTCTCATGCCCCCCACCACCTAGTGCCATAGTCAGTCCTTGCGTTATCACCCCTTCACACGTCTTTCGCCATATATAAGAGGGTTCATCCAACTACTTTCTCCTTTACAACTACTAAACCCGCTTGTCCAGTTTGGATCCATTGTTATTACCCTTTGAGCTCGCGCGACCTATCTTGAAACATCCTAACCTTTGAGCATCACCATGGGTATGAGTTATCGGCAGTATCTCGCTGGAGAGCGCATCTATGGGTGTTCTACGTGCAAGACCCATCTCGCCACAATACATTCGATGATATCGCGGGTAGGTGTCTTGCATTATTCTTCGATGACACATATCCCGATCCTCGTCCTTCCAGGCCTTTAATGGTCAGCATGGTCGTGCGTATCTCTTTGATGGGGTGTAAGTCCGATTTTCGTGTCATGCTTTGGAGAAGACTCACCTCTGGTTATAGGGTCAATGTCATCGAAGGGGAGCCCAATGACCGGTCAATGACGACTGGCAACCATACGGTCCGCGATATTTATTGCGTTAAATGCGGGACAACCCTGGGATGGAAATATGTGAGTGTCGATCTTCATGAAAGCTCGCTCTCGTGAACTAATATAGATTATAGGATAAAGCCTACGAACCCACACAGAAGTACAAAGAAGGGAAATATATTCTAGAACGAAATCTCTTGGTCGACGTGCAGTAATCTCGCCCAGCCGTCAGGCGTCCTTGCCATGGGCGAACATTCACGACGCCTTTGGCTTTTCGATGTCGAAGGCGGTCATATCTCCCAACGGGTTGGTGCATCGTATACTGGTCCAAGTCTTACAAACCTCCTCTACTATCGGAAAATTGCCGAAAGGTTGTATTCATACTTTGACGCCTCAGCGCTGAGGATGTGGCGAGAGTTGCAGTGGAAGAGTGGGGGATTTGATGCTATTGTTTCTACACCAATCACCACTCATTCCGAAGGACTCTATCATGTCAGATACTCAGACATACTTTCCCCATACTCTTGTTGGTGTACCTTCCTCCGAAGTCTACACTACATTTCTTGCCACCTAGACAGAACGTCGATACGTGTCTTTGACATTCGTGTTCTGCTTATCTTTTCTCCGAATGTAATAAACCTGATATGATGCTCCTGAACTGATTAGCACGAAATGAAGCGAGCGGAACGCCAGCCGGAATGAAAGACACGCTGCGATTGGTGGAGATGATATCGTTCGCAGCATTGACTTTGCTTGGAAAGATTTTGGGGAGGGACAGGTATGAAAACGTGGAACGGGCGTCCTTCGTAGAAAAACGGAAGAATTCGAAGCGGCTGGGGGACATATGCTGGCTATCAGGGATGCCGTGTCCTCGTAACCTCCTGCGCGAGTGCCTTGACGCCAGCCGTCTGACTGCAGATTTGGGGCAAAACAACGGGGATATTTCCTATTCGAGCGAACTTTGGGACCGATGGTGATGGCCCACCGCAGTTTGTCCGATTTTGACAGCCGCCGGTTGCCGAATCCCCAAACCACAAAGTCCCCAACTGAAGTTTTCTTCGACCCCCAAGCGAATTCTGGAGGCCTATAAATTATTTCGCCAGCTGCGTGCGAGACCCCCCAGTGCCCTCCTCGCTCCCCAGGAGTCTCCTGTTCGTCGTCATCGCCCTTGCTATTGTTTACCGCATTCGTTTTTGGCAATAGTCCTATTATCCCACCAACCACTAGACAATGGGTAAGCAGTCTCCCTTTCTATTGGCCACTCCGCCTTTTTGTTCTGCCATGTCTCAAGACACTGACGTTCTCTCTCCCTCTCTCTCCCTTTCCCCATGTCGTTAATAGCCACAATGACGACCTCACCCCGCCCTTTCGTCTCGTCACCCCTCGTCGACTCTGGACGGGCAGTACCACCCCGAAGTACGGTTCCCAAGCGAGCATCACCATTCGCAGCTTCACGCCCTCTCCGACCCTTTGCTTCCATCTCCAGCGCTCTCCAGCCACCTAATGGCTCGCGAAAACCACCGGTCAAAATTATTGAGCCACCTGCGAACCACAAGGTTACCTTTGTGCTCGACCTTACACAGGCCGAATTCAGCCGACAGGAGTGAAGGAAGACACCCCACTCCCACCCCATCTCCGACACCACGCACCCACATCCCATGGCATTGTGCTAGATGACCCACTCAGTCAAGAAGCACTCGACTCCATAAATTATTCGTATCTTCCTTCCATTCATAGATGGCAAGTCGAGGCCGGCAGTTCCGCACCGCATTCATCCAATCACGATTCAGCACACTCTTTTTCTATGGTTACCACCTGAGGTTAAGTCCCCATTTGGACGCCACCTCCATCCTTCTCTTTCGACAATTTCTTACCCACCTTTGTGGGTGAACGCAACAATCACGGTTTCGGTTTTGTTCATCATTAGCAGTTAATACCTGTTGTTTGGGCTGCGTCGGTTGACGCTCTGTTGGAAACATTGTATAAATACTTCGTCCATAATGTACGGCGATTCTCGGGCATACGGGAAGATTCCGGATTATGGTTTCTTCGTACTGTATTAGATACTGGGAAAAGCAATAGTGTATACTTATGGGACGCAGTATTGATGGATCATATTCATTTTTGATACAATTGCATTTGACCTTGATATGAATGTGTTATTTCGAGTGACAGTAGGAGTATAAAAGTTGATCCCGTTTATTGGAGGAGAATAGTCTTCTGACTTGGTGTGAACAGGCATTTAGAGCTGGGCACCGGCGTTCTGTCGAAGGCAGGTGTAATGATGTAACTGATCCGAAGTCATCTATAATCATCAGGAAATTCAATAACGGATTCCATGGCGAGTCAGCTGCCCGAATATGATATTACTCTGATGGATTTCTGGAATGCGGCCTGGACACTGTCGAAAAGAAAGCGCTTGGGAGTGAAGACGATCGAGTGGCGGCAGGGCCTGAAAGCTCGAGATTGATTTCCTGGGAGGAAAAAAGGTCGCCAAAAGTCGGGATGGAGCCACGAGACAGACACGCGGCGGGCTATGTGCGGTTGCCAAGCGTGAAATCACAGGAGAGAAAAGGGACTGATTCACAAAAAAGAGGCGTGGTTCCAGAGAATGCTAAGGAATTGGAACACTTGGAATTTCCAGAGTAAGAGACAGATAAGGCAAGAAAGGAGGTCAGGAAGAAAGAAGCAGCGAGGTGACGAGTTTGTCGGTGTGAGTTTTTGAGCTCCGATTTCGATAAAATAAAACATCGGAGCCGGTTCGAGGACAGGCTGCAGTGGTGCATCAAGGCTCGAAAGTGATCCCACTGCTGGCCTTTGCAAATTAAAACGAGTCACGAGAGACAGGAAATGCGCAGAATTCAGTGGGTACCAATCACCCTGAACAGCAAACGGGAGAAGGAGAGGACGGTGACGAGAAATGCCATCGCATATCCGAGGCCGGGAGATAGTCTGTCGAGTGCTGAGGTCACGACACCGGGCAATCCCGAGCTGTGCGGCTGCAGAGGACGCGGTGCGCAAGGAATACCTTCGGATCTTCTCGGCATGCGCCATGCTGGCCTCTGGCCTTTGTTGCGCGCTCGACGAGTGGGGACGGGTGATGGAGGATAATCATTTTGGCTGCGATGGCCAGGAATGGAGGGACGGATAATATATTTGGGGATAAAACAAGGGGGAAATAAGGTCGTAATTTGTAGGGAAAGGACGCGATTTTGGCACGTTGTGACCAGATCGTGGTAAAAACAGGGCAAAGTGGCTAGAAATAGGCCGATTCAGTTTGAGACCGAACCAAATCTCTCCTGCCATTGGCTCGCGCTGCCACTGTCCTCCTTGTCCCCCTCCCCAAGGAGCTTCACCGCCCTTTCGCTTTACGACCCCTCGACGAACCACGATTTGCACGACCAAGCCCGAGCTCATCACCACCCACGAACAAGAACATTTTCTTCAAGACATACAAGCCCCACACTCCCCACAATCCCCCCCCTTTACCTCCAATTTCCTCGACTTTCGTTTTATCTTTCTGCTGACCTTTTCTGAGGTATGTTGCCGCCCACACCCACCCTCGATGCCCCCTCACCGTCCGTCTCTTTCTCTAGAAATGGACAACTGGAGAGTAGCCGTTCTTGGTGATGGTGGTGTGGGGAAAACTGCGTTGGCCGTTCAGGTAACAGTGCTTCTCACCCTACCCAAGATTTTCTTGCCTGATCTCCTCTTCCTCGCATCAAGTTCACCCTCAATTGCTTCGTCGGTAAGTCTCCTTTCTGCCTGCCCAAGGCCAGCTCTTACGACGGGGGCTCTCACACACCATCACAGAGGTGCGGTTCCATCTTCCTCATCATTGTCTCCATCTCACATACCATCAATCGTTTCATTGTTCTTTAGACTTATGATCCGACGATAGAGGATGCATACCGCAAGCAGCTCGTGGTAGACAACAGGATGTGTTTTGTAGAGGTTATTGACACTGCAGGTCAGGGTACGTACCTCCCCTCTCAATCACCTGCTTTCCACCGTCTGACTCACTGTTGTGACAGAGGAATACGCCACACTGCGTGATCAGTGGGTACGGTATGTACTTCCCCTAGCAAACGTCATTCCTGGCCCCCGCATTCTGATATCTGTCCAACAGT